GTTCTATTTTTAATTATTGGAGGGACCTTCATATTATTTTCATCAGTGACTGCACCGATTTATATTCCTACCAACCAGCACATCATCGCCAACACTTACTACTTCTTGACTTCTTGATCTTAGCCATTCTTACTCATTTGAGGTGAAATCTCATTGTGGTTTTAATTTGTATTTCCCTAATGAAAAGCAATGTATTGATAGAACATCTTTTCATGTGTCTGTTCATCATCTGCTTGTCTTGTTTTGTAAAGGACCTATGCGCCCCACCCCCCTTTAAAAAAAAAAAAGGTTAAGTTTCTTTGTTGCTTAGCTGTATGAATTGCTTATATATTTTGGATATTAGCCCTTGTCTGATACATGTCTTGCAAATATCATCTGCAGACAATAATGCTCTCTTTTTGCTTTAACAATGGTTTCTTTTGCTGTGTAGAAGCTTTGTAGTTTGATATTGTTCCATTTGTTTATGCTCTTTTATTTCTCTTGCTGTTTGAGACTACAGTCTCATCTTCACTTATTGCATAGCCCAGTTTTAACTGCTGCAAACTCATTTTAAATTAATGGACATAACACTTATAAAAATTTTGGATTGTTTCTATAATATGCAGTTATGAGCAATATTTTGATGAACATACTTGTGTGTAATACTTTTTGTAATCTTTAGTTTCTTAGGCTAATACCTTAAAGTAGAATCTCTGAATCTAATGGTTTTTCAGGACACAAAGGCATTTACACGTATACCAACAAGATCAAAAAGCTACCAGCCAAAGATTTCTCACTGTATACGTGAGGGCATTTTTTACAAATCCTTGCCAGATCTCAGTTATTATTTAATTATCAATACTATTTTTAAAACAATAGTAACACCTAATATGTACAGATTACTTGCTAGCTGGCTGACCCTAAGCTGAGCTCTTTGCATGCATTATCTTATTAATCATCATAACAGTGTTATGAGGCAGAAGCTATTAAGATTTGATGGAGGAGGAAAAATAGTTTTAAATCTCTTAATAAATTATATCCTTTTATTTAACAAATGGTCAGATACATGCTATATAAATGTTTTCTTCCATCTGTGGGTTTTCTTTTTCACTTTCTTTTGTTTTTTAAAAAGATTTATTCATTTATGTATGCAAGAGCTGGGGTGCAGGCCAGAGGTGCAGGGGGTGAGAGAATTCACCAGAAACAGAGTGGGGAACAGAACAGGCAGATTGACTGAAAGACACTGCTGCGGGGAGCAGCAGGCCAGTTAGGAGAGGTCTGCTGCACCGTGTGGGTATCTCCCTGGCTGTGGACAGCTTCGTAGGTTGTGTCTTAACCCTTGCACCACAGGGAGGCCCCCTTTTCACTTTCTTTATAATGTCCTTTGAAGTCCTTTGAGGTCCTGAAGTTTTGCACTTTGATGAGATTGAATTTGCTCTTTTTTTCTTTGGTGATTTGTGCTTTAGGTGTCATATGTAAAAAAAAACATTGTCTGGTACAAGTTTATGAAGATTAAGGCCACAAAGTAATGCATTGCAGCATTGAGTCTTGTATCTAGATCTTCATGCACCCTGATGCTATACACTTATCCTGTATTTATATAGTATTCTCACATTATCAGAAGTTTATTTTTTCAAAAACTCCATGAAAAATGGTGGGTATATTGTTAATTTACCTCAAATTTATGACATAATAATAACATAATAATAGGAACAATTAGATCTAATCAACTAATTTGCATTGAAAACAAATGCTAGTTTTTGTTTGGAAAGTTTTTGTAGAAGAGTCACTCTTTGAAATAGAAAAAAATTTACCTAAAATGGAGATTAAAAATCCCCTCCCTACTCATTAATTTTTTTACTTCTTTTTGAGATACAATTTATACACCACCAACTACATTTCTTTGTTTAAAGTGTACAACTTTTTGTGCAACTATCAACACTGACAAATCGTAAAGCATTTTCATCACTCCAAAAAGAAGCCCTTTCCCATCATATTCACTCCCATCATTCCCTCTCCTAAACCGCCGGCAATCACTACTTTATTTTTTGTCTCTCTGGATTTCTGTTTTGGGCATTTCATATAAATGAAATCCTACAACGTGAGGTCTTTTGGTGACTGGTTTCTTTCACTCAAGTGTGATATTTTCAAGGTTCACCCATGTTGTGGAAGATATCCGTGCTTTATTCCTTTTTGTAGCAGGATAATATTTCATTGTATCGATATATTTTGTTTGTCTGTTATCATTAGGTGATAAACATTTAGGTTGTTTCCCCCGTGGGGGCTGTTACTAATAAGGTTGCTGTGAACATCATATTCAGGTTTTTGTGTGAACATATGCTTTCAATTCTCTTGTCATAGCTGTAGAAATGGAATTTCTAGGTCATGTGGCAATTCTATCTTTAATTTTTTGAGAAACTGCCAAACTGTTTTTGCTGCCAGATTGCACCATTTTACATTGCACTAGCAATGCATGAGGGTTCAAAATGCTCTCCATGTCTGTCTGCTTGATTATAACCATCCTAGTGGGAGTCAAGTAGTATCTCATTTTTCTAATTACTAATGAATGATAGTGAATATCTTTTCATGATTATTGATTATTTATAGATCTTCTTTGTTGAGATGTCTATTTAAATCCTTTGTCCATTTTTAAATTGGATTGTTTTCTTATTGAGTGTAAATGTCCTTTAATTTTCTGGATACTAGACCCTTATCAGATATCTAATTTACAAATATTTCCCCATTCTGCCTGTCAGTTGTATTTTCACTTTAATGATGGTGTCCTTTGAAGCACAGCAGTTGTAGATTTTGATGATGTCAAGTTATCTATTTTTTTTGTTTGTTTGCTTGACTTTGGGAAGCATATCTTAAGAAATATTGCCTAATCCAAAATTATAAAGGTTTATCCCTATGTTTTCTGCTAAGATTTTTAGAGTTTAGCTCTTATATTTCTGATATATTTTGAGTTAATTTTTATGTATGGTCTATTGAGTTAATTTTTATGTATGGTCTATATGGTCCACTTTCATTCTTTTGCATATGGCGACCCATTTATCTCAGGATCATTTGTGGGAAAAACTCTCTTCTTTCCCATTAGTTTGCCTTGACACCTTTATTGAAAAACCAATTGACTATAAATATATAGGTTTATTTCTGAGCTCTCAATTCTACTCCATTGATCTCTATGCCAAATACTACACAACCTTGATTATAGTATCTTTGTAGGAATCCCCACTCATTATTTATGATGTAAGTCAGAGATTCTTAATCATGTCTCCTATATGCTTTTAAGGTAACTCTATTTATTTATTTATATATGATATAAATATCATATTTATCAAATTGAGGACTTGTAGCTGTGGTGTGCTGAGCTCTGTATGTTAGCAACCCAATCAAAGCATCGATGAAGAATGCTCTTTTCATGTATTTACAGTGATCATTTTTTCCAGCTTTCATTAGGGAAATGAATACTTCAGAGAAGTGTCAAGGGAGGAAATCTTACCATATAATCTACCATTGTATTACTTGAAGATTTGGAGTTTGGGGTAAAGAGAGGTTTGAAATGCTAACAGTGTTCAATGAGAATTAGCTAGTAAACTGAGAAGTGGAATCAGAAAACCTGGTTTGAAATTCTGGTACTTACATTATTATTAGTTTGACTTAGGGCCAATAATTTCATTTACTTGATTTTTAACCTTATTCATTTATTTCTTTATTGTTCCTCTTCTCCTATTCCATATTGTCAATGTGCTTCTTAAAATTTGACTTCCAAAATTGCTACAACATACGAGGTCCTATCTAATAATTAGCACAGAGGATTCTTTCTATTCTTTACCTACATTCTGATTAATGCACTAAGCATTATGTTTTTTTTTAATTTTTGAAAGTTACATAACATTTAATTTGTCCTCCTTTTGTTGAATGCTATTTTTCTTTGCCTCCTATTCTCTGAAGATTAATTATCAGTTAAAAGAACTAACAACACTGTATGTTATCTTTGGCATCATAGAAGATATAGGTCAAGACTGAGAATGGGACTTTCAACCAACCAAGAGAAGGATCCATCTAAAGATCTTAAATATTAATGAACATACTTCAGAGACCCAGTTTTTTCAACGTCTGGGGAAACTGTCTATTCCATATGAATCTGCCCTTTTCCTTCTGTTTTCTGATGTAGGCTTTCTCTCTACTTTTTCTTTTCTTTCTAGCTTTTGCTTACAGTTTTAGCCTCCTCAAGCATAGTTAAGCTTTCTACAGCTTCTCATCATCTCACTGTGCCTTACCTCAGGGCTTCTTTTTAACTTCTAATGTTTTCTCGGTTCCTCAACCTAGATTCCTGAGTGAGATGATAGTCATGCATGCCTTTTCACACCAGAGGCATCACTGGTTGTTGATTATTTGATTGGGGGAGGGGGTTGGGCAGAGAAAGGGCTATCCTTGGATTAGTGACCCACCCCTGTCCACCTATCTGAATTTGTTGTGTCAGCATCAGGGGTTCCACGTAGGCTTTTGCTGGGCTGTCTGTGGGGGACAGTTTGATTAATTTCTGGCTATAGCTTGGCAGTCACAGGAACTGACATTTCCAGTATAAACTCAGGAAATATCAAGAAATTTGGATTTGATTTGACTTGGTTGTGTATATTTTGAGTTGTGGGACATTCGAATGGAAATCTTCAGCAGAAAATGGTGGGCCCAGAGGTCAGGAGTGTGGATGTTAGAACAACTGGAAAATTATCTGTATAGAGGTTTGAGCCTTAAGCCTCCTTGAGATAGCCGAGTAAGGAAGTATAGGGAGAAGGGAGGAAGTTGAGGATAGCTCAAGATGAAAATATAAAGAGGAGTTCTACAGGAGAGATCAGCACATAACCACTAGTATATTTAAATACATGTTGCTTTTAGAGACAGATAAATAGATCAAAAAATGCTTCAAAATGATTCTAGGTTTTTGAATGTGGTTTGGTACTAATAACCTTAATTTAATGATTCTTGCTATATTCTTACCCCAATTCCCTTCCTCATAGGTAGAAGAAGAAATCTTGACTCTTTCTCAGGTGTTAGCAGCAAAAGAGAAGCATCTAGCAGAGATCAAGCGGAAACTTGGGATCAATTCACTACAGGAACTAAAACAGAACATTGCCAAAGGGTGGCAAGACGTGACAGCAACATCTGCGTATGTTCTCTTGATCATCCATTTCTCTAGGGACTGCAGAGGGCATTTTTGCCCCCTTTGTCTGGGGAGGGGAATAGAAAGGAATGAGCACACTTTTGCAGCTTTTTTGCGCATTGCATAGGATACTTTTCCAATCCTAAAATGTACCTGCTTCTTTTCTAACTTCCAGGCTGTTCTAGGGAATAGAAATAAAGCAGCCTTATATATGACTTGAATAAATAAAATTTAAGTTCCAACATTTTGACTTGTTAGATAGTTACATGTACCATTGAGTTCTCAGAATAACCCAGTACAGTGGGTGGTGAGATAACCCCAGATAAGAAAATGGATTCAGTTAAGTTTTAGGTCAAAAACCTCTCCAATGTGAAGGCAGGGTTTGAACTCAGGTATGATCAACTAAAGAGCCAGTCTTTTTTTTTTTTTTTTTTTTTTAAACCCTGCTCTTTACAGAGCATTGGACTCTTGGGTCGGTCACAGTCTTTTAGGTGGCAGAGTCTTTAGTCTTTTTGATCATACACATTTGGGTATGGCACCATTGTGATGCAATTTTGTTTCCTAGCATAAGGAGGAACATTAAGCTTCTAGCAACAGATTCCAAACAGTTCTCTGTCTTCTGTATTCAGTCCCAGCTGCTGAGCTGGTGAACAGCAGGGAGGCCTACAGCACCCTGATGTGACAGTATAGGGTACCCACCCTTGTCCTTCTACTTGCAACCTATATCAGTAAGCTGTGGGAGAACATGCAGAGAACTATTCTTTGACAATCTCACCATAAGCTGAATTTGTTTTTAGCGTTTGATTTTGATGGAAAATGTACAGTACATTCCTTTCTAGAATGTGGGAGCCTTAACCTCTTTGGTGTTATATTTTTTGTTTTTCCCTTTGCTAATACCTGGGTAGATAGGAAGAGGGGGTGGCAAATCATACCTTGTGTTATAGCAGATGCCCCATGTGAGTCATTTTAGATATTGTGGTGTTTATATACCCTGGTGAGAGTCTGTAAGTACTCATTTGGTAGCTGTATAGACATGCAGAATGTAAAAAATTGAATAATAAAATGCACATGGGCCTTACTTTCGGTCCACTTTTAGGAGACAAAGTTGTAAAAGGCATGGAAAGAATTTGATTTCACTTTTGTTTTGATTGGCTTAAATGGAAAAGGAAAGAACAAGAGGTATCATTTCTTTGAGCCCCTGGCTCCTTCTTATTTTTGCTTCATGACTATTTTTAGTCTCCATCCTGATGTCTTTGGCTCTGCCTCTGTCTTCCTGGCTGTCTGAAGGTACTGCAGAAGATTGTGCCTGAAATGATGTTCAGGTATAAAATGATGTGGCAATGCTAACTTGGTGGATGATAAAGAATTTTAGATGTACTAATATTTTTGTTTTTGAGAGTTCTCCAAAGGTGGTGATTACAGCACTTTAAATAGGTGATTACAGCACTATTAAGAATAGGTTAGCTTACTTTTCTTTGACCTATTCCTTTATATTTTAATACAGCTATAAGAAGACATCGGAAACCTTATCTCAAGCTGGACAGAAGGCTTCAGCTGCTTTTTCATCTGTTGGATCGGTCATTACCAAAAAACTGGAAGACGTAAAGTATGTCGTTGTTTTTCCTAGTTCATTAAAGGAACTAAAACCACACTATGTTATTATATTGCACTGTTTGCTGACCTTGGCCCTGGTGATGCTGGATTCCTCTCTGATTGAGGGAGGGAGTGTACTCCTACCTGTATCAGAAGTGTTGCTGAAATTTGTTCTGACATAGTCTTCTAATGTTCAGACATAACATTCAACATGAGTGTCTTAAGAGTACGTTCAAGGTTATTGAAAAATTCTGGTAGTGAACTTTCATCCTTCTAGTCCTTCTTGATCACAAATGGTAAGTATGTCTCTTGTGGTTGTGAGTATGTGGTTGTGGGCTGAGTCTGTGTCTTATTGGTGATGCGTCCAGGACCATTGAAGTACCCACTTCAACTGAGACCTGCCTTCACTCACTTCTCTGTGGTACATTTTTACAAATCTTGGTGTGATTACAACATACTCATTTGTGAACTGATTTGTACTGATTTATAAGCCATATCTTTGTTCATGCTGAGGCCCAAATCTTGATTTTTGAGCAACTGCTATTTATTTTGCATTTTTAAAAATAATTTTAATTTGGGGGTTACATCTTTGCTCTTCCATATGTGTCCACGTGGTACTCTCCCTCCTCTAAACCACCTTTGCCAAAGTCCTTTGTCTTCCTCCACTTTTTATTTTGCTTTTTTATTTTAGATTAGTCTGTAGAATTTAATTCCACTTCATGGTGCTTTTGTGCCGCCACCCTCCCGCCCCCCATGTCTTATCTGACACCCCTGTGGATTAGGATAATACTGAAAGTGACAAACATGGTTTATATTGCCAGCACTTCTGTTGGCATGCAGACTTTGTGCTTTAAAAACAAAACTCTCAGATTGCATGCCTTTGCGTCTTTCGTGTGTTGAGAAATTTGGTTTTACAACCAGAATTTTGTTGTTTGAATAAGTTTGGTCAATCATTGTATTTCTCTGGTACCCAAATAACTTGCTCATTATGTTTGGGTTATCACCATTGTACACATAAAATAAACATGGTTTCTTAAATCTTTTTGCAATTACATGTATATCACCCAGGTGCTCTCATTATTTGGCTTGCCCTCTCAGCTGTGCGGCACTTCAGTGTCCAGTTAAAATCTTACCCGACTTGTAAAAAGTAGGTTATTTAATTGTTTCAGATTTACCAGAACTTCCTTTCTTTTTTAATGCTTGCTCTGGCTTTTTACAGATTTCAGGCCTTTTCACATTCCTTTAGGTAAGGAGAGTTGGAACTGTCACTGTAGCTTAGCAGTTGTCTTGAGACAAGTGTGCTTAGATTTTTATGCCATGTTGGCTGGTTGTGTTTGTCCTCTACCTACCTTTCTTGCGTTTTGACTATCTTTTTCTCTAATGCAATCCTATATTCAAGGGAGGGTTTCTGGTACACCATGAGTAATGGATAAATTAAAAGAAGAATTTGACACTATGGTTTAGGGGATATGGAAATGATTTTGACTTTTTAAATTTTTGTATTATATATTTTAGTAAAAAGAAGCCGCTTTACCATGGTATGCAGAATCCCTCCCTTTTAATGTCTGACTTTGTTTGTTTGTTTTTGATGCTTCAATTTCTTTGGTGCTTTTGTAAGGATTTTGGAATTTTCTATCACCTGGGTTCCATTATGCAATTGTAATACTCTGCATATGTACTGCCTCAGGACCTTCATCTTCTGTATTGTTAGTTACTCAGAGAAATTTTTTGTGTATAGTAAAATATACCCAATATAAAATTTACATTACTCTGTACTTTTTAGGACATGTTTCACAATTTTATTATTTCTTTACTCTAGTTATATCTTTTAAATATGTAAGGAAATGTCATGGTTGCAGAAAAAAAAAAATAAAGTACATTAAGCTGAATAAGAAGTCATATTATATAGATGTCAGCCAAACTAGGCCCTAGATGGAAGCTTTGTAGTATTGAGCAAACCTCTCCTTTTTCTTCCATACAAACTGTGATTATTTAGTCATCAGAATAAACTAAGGTGGAAGAATGACTTCAGTCTGTAAGTGGGGAGGATAGTATAGTGGTCTCTGTCTCTGTTGTTGTTAATGCATATCGTCCTTTAAGCAAACACTTGCTAGTCTAGCTATTTGCCTTAAAGAAACAAGCAGGTACTTAGAGCTGAGGTCCTCCTGTCTTAGTTATACGTTGCCCTGGAAGTCAGAATAAATCACACAGAGCTAAGTAAACTCAAATTGTTGGACTTTTTAAAGTTAAAATTGTGTTTAACAAAAAAAGCAAAGAATCCCTGATGGGAGGTGATTCTTTGTCTCTGGTGTTTAATTATTATAAATGACTGAAGTGCTCTAGGCACATTTTTTTACCTGAAGTTATTTGAGTTGTGTGAACATGTATGCAGTCACATAGACTGTTCTGCTGCCATTAGAACGCCTGCTGTCTAAAGGATATAACTATAAACCAGACATAGTACTTCTTTGGAAAGAACTTAAAATCTTCCGTGGACTGGGAATGAGTTTGGATTGGAAGTGCCCAGTTAGTAACTAATTATAAAACAATGTTCAGTAAAACAATGTTCAATATGATATAAACAAAAATATGAAAATATGTAAGGACTCTGGAGGAATTTGTTTGATCAGTGCATATCACTGTTTCTCTATATCTTTAAAAAGACTAAAAATATGTACATAAGGATGGCTCAGTATTAATTCACCAGAGTTTTTCTACTCTTTCCTAACTCCATAGAGTGAATTTTTTCATTTCATTTAAAATACAACTGCAATTATATGCAATCTACCATTTTCTTTTTTTTTAGGAACTTGTCATTTATTAAAAACAAACATTTAAGGGAAACTTCTGGCAATGCTTTTAAATAGGACAAAAATAATAAGCACATTTTAATGCAATCTACCATTTTCTTTTTAAAGATTTATTTAGTTATGCACACAAGAACTGGGGAACAGGCCAGGGGGATGGAGGGTGAGAGGATTCACCAGAGACAGAGTGGGGAGCAGAAGAGGCAGACTGACTGAAATACACTGCTGAGGGGAGTAGGGGCAAGTCAGGAGAGGTCTGCTGCGCCATGTGGGTCACTTCTCTGGCTGGGGATGTGCTGCAGTGGCTGCAGATAGCTTCATAGTGCTGTGTGTTAACCCCTTGTGCCACCAGGGAGGCCTCCAATTTCAACCCTGCTTTAATGAATCAGCATATCAATATGTGGAGGTTTAAAGTAAGGTGTCTGATTAAAACTTGAAAGACAGGGCCTTCCAGGTGGCACAGATTGAGCACCACGCTGTGAAGCTGTCGGCAGCCTCTGTAGTGCAGGTTGGATTCCAGGCCAGCCAGGGACAAACCCACATGGAGAGGCAGACCTCTCCTGCCTTGCCTGCTGCTCCCCTCAGCAGTGTCTTTGATCTGTCTGCCTGTGCTGTCCCCTCTCTGTCTCTGGTGAATCCTCTCACCCTCCAGCACCTCTGGCCTATACCCCAGTTCTTGTATAAATAAATCAATCTTTTAAAAAAAATCTTTTGAAAGCTAAATTTTATAGCAAAATCAAACAATATAAGTTGGGTAAAGTCATTTAATATAATATCTGTGCTAAGAAGTTCTGATTGTAGTCTGTTTTTATGCAATCACATATAATAGGAAATAGATAAAAAAATACAGAAACATACAAGTAAAATCCATCTCTTTTAGATCAGTGAGTTACAGAACAGATACTGGCAATGTGCCCCCCAACAACTGTCCCAGAAGCGTGAACTTGGACAGTCGATCTTCAGTGTTTTGATCCCACAGCAAGACCCTTTCTCCCACAGAGGCAGATAAAGCAAGCCCCACTTGCTGTGAAATAATTAGTTAATCTTCTGTTCTGAGTCCACCCTTATCCAGCAAACCTATGGCAGTGATTTCCCTCTCTGATGGAATTGTGGATCATTTGTTGACATGTATTTTAGACTTAGTAACAGTTTTTATTTTATTTGGTCAACTAATAAATTAGTACTTGGGATGTAGATATAGATATTTGCTTTATAGTTTGATGGGTGAATAAGGAAGAAGAAAGGGAGTGAGGCTGAGAGAGATTTATATATTTATGCATACAAGACCTGGGGTACAGGCCAGAGGTGTGGTGGGTGAGAGGATCCACCAGAGACGGGGGAGGGAACAGAACAGGCAGATTGATGGAAATACACTGCTGAGGGGAGCAGTGGGCGAGTCAGGAGAGGTCTGCTGCTCCATGTGGGTTGTTCACAGGCCGGCTGGCCTGGGGGAATCGAACTCGTGCTACAGAGGCTGCAGACAGCTTCACAGGTTGCGTCTTAACCCCTTGTACCACCAGGGAGGCCCGAGATTTGTTTTTGATGTCCTAAGAATTAGGTGTCTATGCCAGGTTGGGGATCAAACATGGGATGTGTTAATGAGCACTAAACTGGGAGATCCTCTGGGGACAACCAGCTTTTGCCCAAGATAGTGTGTTCATATCCACCTCTCTTGTTTGCTTATTTTCTACACATATATGGTAAGCATTGACTTATGCCTTTAATTTTTGAGAGAAACTTTAAAAGAGCCTTCTCATTTCACTTGGTGTCAGTGTTAGGTATAAACTATAGTAGTATTAATAGCTCACTATCACAATTCAGTAACATTATTAGTCAAATATTTTTGATATATTTAAGAAGTACTACTTTGATTTTATTTCCAAAGGAAGTTTTTCCTTTTTACATGGGTGTTTCTTCATGTAAACCTCTAGATACTTTATATTTGTTTTGGACTTACTAAGGTATTTCCAAACAATTCTGTTACGCTGAAAATTTCCACCACTGAATGGGAAAAGAAAGGATCTCATTCCTCTCATCAGAGAGTACTTTCGTATTTTCCTTCTCTATCCCCTGATAATTCCAAATGTCTTTACAATTCATTTTTTCAACTTTTATCATCTCAAGACTTGTTTTATGTGGATAATCCTAAATTACATTGTGCCCTGGATGCTGAATTTACAGTCAATTTGATGCACCTAGAATTCTCTATTCTTTTTATTCTGCATTTGTTCTGTTCCCCTTTAACTAGTTTGTGTGCTGGCTGCAGGGTCACAGGACCCACCAAATGCCAGCTGGAGGAAATGATCTTGTACATGGGTGCTTCGGGACTGTAACTAGAATTAGCTGTGCATTGGGCCTCCCCTGGTGGCGCAGGCTGCCCGCAGCCTCTGCAGCACCGATTCGTTCCCCAGCCACCAGCGAGGGTCCCACAAAAAAAAAAAAAAAAAAAAAGAATTAGCTGTGCATTTCTGAAATGTGTCCTTACTTTGCCCACCTGTTTCTTCATTTTGTTGAAGCTATGAATTCAGTCTGCAAGCAGTTTGTCACATGTTTGGCCATTATTCACCTTCTTTTGCCAGAATCTGGTCATTTCTGCCAAAATGAATGTTCTAGTTAAGTCTATGAGAACTATAAAGTTAACTGACAAAAAAGGGCACTATGTTGCACAGAAACAAATTGTTTTGGAATCCAAGGAGAAACATTCCAAATCTTGCTTTTTCTTAAGCAGGCTGGGACCTACTCATGCTAGCCCAGCTGATTGGAAAACTTAGAAACCAAGGTTGCTTTTAGAAACTAAGCATCAGGTTCCTTTCCTACCTGGCTCCTTCCCCTCATGATCATTTCCTCTTCATTTCTCTGCCTCTCTCTGTGCTTAGATTCAGTCCTTTCTTTGGGAACTGACATCCTCTGCATTCTTGTAGCTTCCACTTTGACCCAAAATGTCTTCCTCAACATCAGGTGTACGTGACTTTCTAGTTTAAGTGTAACTAACCAGTGGCATAGTGTCCTAATTACAAAATCCCAGGATAAGACTCTGTTTTCTTAATTCTTTCTTTTTCCATTTAGTCCAAATAATTTGTAGAAGGTTATCTGTGGTGGGTGGAGCTCCTGACCTAGTTATCTATTTGATGTTGACAGAAGGTGGCTCTGGCAATGTGGCTACACAGCAGAGTTTGAGGAAGGGCAGGTGACGTTTGATTTCTGGTATTGTAAGCCAAGAAGGGTGATTTTTATTAATTTTTATTAATTTGTCCTGCAGTAGACTGCAGCATTCTGTAATAGACCAAGAAGAAACGAAAAGAACAAGTTTCTCTCAGAGTAGATTATGTTCTTGCACCTGAGATAGCTGCCACTATTATAGGAGAGAGAATGCACAAATCTCTTACTGTGTTATGTGCAGAATAAAGTATAAAAATGCCCAAATATTTGATTGATTATCTTGTCTACACAAGCTACTGGCATATTTTCATTTATAGCATTATCACATACCTCATGAATAAATTATACAAAAAGTAGATTTGAGGTGATATATTTGGAACTCTTTGTCATTTATAACCACTGTGTCTTTGAGAAAATTAAATCACAAACACGAAATATTATTCAGGATTAATACTTTGAACTGTCTTGCTTATCTAAAAATGCCATGTCAGTAATCAAAATATTATAAGTGTAGAAATAATATCAACTGGACACAGTGACTTTGTGAGCCCAAGAATTAAGGCATTTTCACCTTGTGAGGTGGCCTGTGTGAACCGGAACTGTATTGTCTGGAGTAAGAAGTTGGTGCAAGTAAAATGGGAGGACAAGTAATACTTGAATGACATTTAATAGCATTAGGTTTAACTGTGATGAAATATATGTACCTCTTAATGGAAAATAGATACTACTACTACTGAGACTGTAATGCAGCCCCAATAAGTAGTTACAGTCCCACCTACTTAAAGTTGTCAAGTAAGTAATTTATTTGGAGACCTTCCTGTTCTTACCAGGTAACAAATATGTGAGGGAAAGACAGCCACAGAGCCCTTCACTGGCCTTGCTTGTGCCTGTGTGTACATGTACATGTGTGCTTTATTTTTTGAGGGGAGGTGGTGAACATTGAATTTTTGAGTCCCAAAGACCCAAGTGACCTTGGGTAAATCATTTAACTTCTGACTCTTGATGCTAAATGCCTTACAGGTACGGGTGAAAGCACTTTATAGTTTTTAAAGTGCTGTAAAAATGCAAGGTTGAATTATTTAAAAAATCATAAATTGTTCTGTTAACTACTGGGATTAAATTGTCTCATGAATAAAAATAAATTATATTGGAATAACTTTGCTCCCCTCCATCTCAAAAAAGTAGATAATTCTTCATGGTGCCTAAAAGACGAAGCTGCTAGAAACCTAAAATTTAGTTGCCTTTTAAATAATGTGCAATTACCATTATACTAACTTCATTTCTATCTCTTTTTAATGCTGCCTCTTAGTATACGCTCCATTCAACATTCAATTAGCATGCCTGCTATGAGGTAAAGTATTCGTTATTTAGATGTTTAACTTGAACTGTTCTAAGTAGGGAATCAGAATTCTACTGCAAACAAGCTACAAATTTAACATGATAGCAGTTTTCAGTTGCTCTTTCTGTATTGTTAGGATGAGTGCAAGAGATATTGTTTGATTTTTTTAAAAAAGGAATTATCACTTCTAAACAATTTTGTTGGCTTGTTTCACATCTGACATCTGTTTAACTAAAAAGGTTAATATTACTCATCTTAATAAACTTCCCCTTCATGGATATAGGTGTCCAACCACTTCTGCAATAATTTTAGTTACATTTACTGCCCCCCACCTTTTTTTCCATCCTATCTATCCCTTTTTCTATTTCCCTCCACGTTGTTAAATTTGGAGCCAACTGTGATTTAATTCTACTGTCCTTTCTCATCAGTAAGCACTTGCAAGTGGTTATGTTATTACCTCTCCTAACCCCTCTAGAGAGAGGATTTTCTTTTTTTAAAGTATGTGTTTTGCTTAAACTTCAGTGTACATCAGGACTACCTGCAGGAATTGTTAAAAGCCCCCTAATTGCTGACCCCCACCCCTCGAGTTTCTGATTAGTTAGGCTTAGGGTAGGATTGGCGAATCTGCATTTATGTTAACAGCTTCCCCACAGAGTACTGACACCCCTAGCCTGAGAATCACACCTTGGCCTGCCTGCCCATCACCGCTGTGGGAATAAGAAACCCTTTGTTTCCTTCTTCACCTTTCACTTCTTGGTGTAGTAGGAAAGATAGTATTGGGTGGATAGTATCAAAGCTTACGAAATCCATGTGTGAACAACATAGGCGCTGTGATCCTCCTTAATTAATATGGATGAATGTGAAGGCATGAAGGGAATTTCATGGGCTCTGATGTGGCAGCTTTGTGAAGTAGGCAGAGCTGTGCTTCTGTGGGCCTCCCTTCCTTCCATCCCCCCCGCCTCTCCCAGTTATGCTGCTCCTGGCAACTAGTTATGGAGTCCCATATGGTCTGCTTGTCTGATAATGAGTTCATGCAGGAGTCTTGCCAGATGATTTGTGAATTTAAACAAGAATTCTACAGCATAGAGTGTTAACCAAAATCAGACTGATCTAGTGGCAGCATTTTCTTGTACCATGGCTAGTTGGTTGGGGAAGTGACACATTGATGCTTGACCTGATGTTTCTTCTCCTCACATACATCCTGGACTAGGTATATATCATGTGAGTCTAAGATGGGCTTTGTTCATGGAATCAAAAGCATGGTGAAAACCTCAAAACAGAAATTGAGAATCATATATGACATATTTGTGTGCATACTGACATAGATATATACATAGAGAGAGATATTTTTTGCTGATTGAGAATTATGGCAAAGAAAAAGTCAACTAAGGAGGTTTACAAAATCATTAGGTGTTTTTTTTTCCCCTCAGTATTTGTAATTTTACAATTTATTTTTCTTTTCTCTCTGCAGGAACTCCCCAACTTTCAAATCATTTGAAGAAAAGGTCGAAAACTTAAAGGCAAGTAGAGAGATGAACAGTTTTTGTGCTATCTTGCTGGTGCCTTAATTTTCTTTGGTTTGGGTATATCATTCATATTTTTTTCTAAACCAGAAAGAACTTTAATGACTTTATTCTTTATATTCTTAATGGATATTTCAGGTAATGTATACTTTTTAATTAGTATTTTTTGAATGTGTGTTATAGCATGGCAAATACTAAGAGCAGAAAGGAAATGCATGCTTTAAAAAACAATAGTACTCTAGAAGTTCATGTTGCCTTTTGTTTTAGTCACTTCAAAATTTTTGTAATTGGCCAAAGTTTAATATAAATTTTATTGTAGAAATTTAAAAATATATAGAAAAGCACCCAAAAAAAACCCAAATTGGTCCTACCCTGCAAACAGTGATAACGTATGTAAACATGTATACAAACATGTAGGCACCAAACTTTCCAGGAGCAAAGCGTTAGGAAGCTTACATTCTAACTGGGAAAAATGCATGTATTTCTCTCCTTTGTTGTTCTTCATTTTTTTGCATAAGTGTAGCTGGTGAACAATTTGATGGAATACAGTCTTAGCCAAATATAAAGACAATTCAATAGATATTTTAGAATAATAAACCTTAAAAAGTTATTCAAACAAATTTCTTGAAAAACAATATATTTGAAAAACAATATTATGGCAGAAAGGAAAAAAAGGAGGGGTAGAATTTACCAATCTGAGTATTTCAGCTGGAATACCACATACATTTTTCTATTAAATGCAGCAAACGACACAAAAGTACTAAACTCCTTATGCATACAATGTAGAGTTATATGTTCCGCACATATGTAATAATCACTGAGCTATTAGGTTCCCGATTTATTCTTCAAAGTAAATTTAGAATTACTTTATGCAGACTCAGCTAAATTTATGTTTCATGATGTCTTTTCCTTTTTGAACCTTTTTAAAAGTCTAAAGTAGGGGGAACCAAGCCTGCTGGTGGTGATTTTGGAGAAATCTTGAATTCGACTGCAAATGCTAGTGCCACTGCCACGGAGCCTCTTCCAGAACAGACTCAGGAGAGCCTGTGAGATTCCTACCTTTGTTCTGCTACCCACTGCCAGATGCTGCAAGCGAGATCCAAGTACATCTTGTCAACATTCATTGCTATGAATTTCTACCAGATGTGCTTTTATTTAGCTTTACATATTCCCTTTGACCAAATAGTTTGTGGGTTGAACAAAATAAAAATATCTTCACCTCTGTTCCTGGGAAACACTCTTTAATGCATACTCAAGGTCCTTTCTTTAGGTAATACCATTATAAAAATTGTGTAGTGCTGGGGAACTCTGATTAGAATGATCCAAGAAACTGCAGGTGACTATAATTGCTTTCCTACTTTCAAAAACTGTCCTGGATTTGGGATACAGGTTAATCATCTTTATCTGCTATATAATTTTCTTTTTTTCCCCTCTTTTAACTTCCGGAGATTTGACTCAATTAAAATTATTCCTAAAATTTTCTGAATCCTGTTATTAAAAGTTTTGGCATAATTTTCCTTATCTTCAGGGGAGGAACTACCAGCTACAAAAAATATTTTTGAATAAGCATTGTTTTAGTAAAGTATCTTCTGTGTTGGGTGTCTGAAGACAGCAGAGAGTTAAATAAATCAGCTCTATATACAGTTTGCTTTAGTTTTGTAAGTGACTATATGCACAGTTCATTCAAACTGAGGTGATGTGAGAGTGGAACCATTTCCTACTTGTTTATCACCATTTGTGACAGTTACCACTTCAGTGTATTGGTTATTATGCCATTTCAACTTAGTTTTCATCAACTTGAAATTTTAGTTTCAGAGTAAATTAACAACATACTGAATCAAGTGTATAGTGTTATTAGTAGGGTGAAATGTGAACATTCTCATCAAATTGTTCAGCTCAAAAGTCTCAAAGTTTCTTAAATCTAGGTAGCTGTAAAAATGCTAAAACCAATCACATTAGGGTAAACATGGTTGTCTTCATTTAATCCATTCAGCACAATATAAAATAAGAAGCACAGTTACATGACTAATAAAACTTGAAAAATTTTTATACTGTGGGGTTGCTGATAACTCCTGAGGATTTAATGCATTAACAAAAATCAGCTGACCATTTTCTACTTGTTTTCAGTGTGTTAGAAATTATAAAATGATACTGTAGACATTGTCCCCTACTTTGAAAACTGAATGTCAGGGCTGAATGAACCAAAGCTTCTATGTAGAGGCCAAGGTACTCTGAATTTTAATAGCTGCTTACTCATCACCAATAATTTTTTCTTATGCTGTGTATGGTTATGGCCTACAATGTTGTATTTGTTATTTATCAGGTTGTGATTGTTTTATTATTGTGTATGCCAAATGTTAATTGCCATGCTTGGTGTGACATAAAGCATTTTTTAACAGCATGACTAGATTTACTTCAGGATAAATTATCTTATGAAAACCAAATTTCAAAAGCCACAAGTGTTGTTATAAAATAACATGTTGCCATTATTGATTGCTAGAGCTTTTGTTAGCACTTTAGATGCAACTGAAACTATGCTTTATTACATGTGAAAAGCTTAATAAATTCTGTATATCAGCAGTATAGGTCTCAATATTTATTATGACACCAGTGATGGCTTGGAAACAGCTGTTGTATTAAACAGTCAACTGGTGTCTACACTTTTAAAAAGACATTTATGTAACCATCCTATAAGTCATTGCTTAATGGTATCTTACTTATTGTAAGTTATTTCCTTAAAGAGGCTTTAGGGTGAAGGACTGACCTGCGAGAATGCATGTGTAGAAATTTGTCATTTTATAGAAATATTATGGTTACTCGCATAACTGTTAAATTATTTTTCTACCAACATGCCCTTCATTTTATCACATCTTTTCATCACATTGTTTTTGGTTGGCCTGCCCTGTTACTATTTTTTTCAAGATAACAAAATGAAGTTAAGATGGCAATTTCTTTAGTTGAGTGAAATATCCTAAAATCTCTTTACTATATGGGGAGAAATGATAGACATAGCCGTGGAAAGTGGGATGGGTGTGTGTGGGTGTTGGTTATAGTTTTCTAGACATCTGCCTACACTTAAACTAAAAGATGATTTAATATATTGCAAACTACTTTGCCTCTTAAAAGAAGTAATGAATAGTAGAGGGAGGATGAATTTAGAAAAATAAACAGATAAAAAAATTTAGAAATATTATTCAAACTGGTCTTTGTGGAGGAGTCAATATTATCAATTCACAGGTAAGAAATTTAGAATATAGTAATTACTAAGGATACTGGAGACAGAGATTCTTGTGACTCAATCCTTTGTACTTTGTTTTTGACACTGTAAGAAAACAGCAACTTAAAAGTGACATCTCAAATATTTAAGGATTCAGAAACTGAAAGAAGAAATTAGTTCCTGAAATTTTCCATAGGAATGGCCTTAATTTATGGAGTTTGTGAAAAATAAAGCAAGAATTCTTATGCTTACAATAGAGGCCAAAGTAATCAGTGGAATAGAAATCATGTTAGTAACTCAAAGCAACTACTGAAATAGAGAAAAAACATTTAATTTGGAACAACTATTTCTGGATTTGTTAAGAAATATACATCATTTTTTGGTATAGTATTTAAAAACAATAAAAATTTATAATTTGGGTATGGGTTCTTTTGTATTATTACCTGTCTGTTGAGGAAAGGGTGAGACCATTATACAGTCTCTCTGGAGACCCTCATATCCTGGATATGGAAGTAAACCATAAGCAGCTATGGAATTAATGTATCAAACAAAACTGACAGTGCTACATGCAGACCCCCTAAAGGCATTTGTAAGTGCATATTTGCTTATGTCTTCCAGCGAAGATGTTGCAGTAGGCCCTATGTCACTTTTTTTTTAACTTTAAAGACCGACATGAAAAATTTATTTCCCATAGTAAAGAGACATTTGACCAGTAGTGACTGTCTCATAATTAGACTAATTATCGGGACTATATGGGTTACATGTGCGATAAAGATCACTTAAGTAAATCTGCATGCTTTAATTTCAGAATTTCCATATTTTGATTCTAAAATTGAATCAAAAAACTCACTTTTAGTTTCTAAGCCTCCAGAAGGCAGGTTCTGCATGTGCTTATCATCTGCCAGAATTAAATACTTAATGCTATTTGGCAACTAAAGTACTTAACAATTCTCATATGTAATGTTGATATTACTTTGGCAACTAAAATACTTAACAATTCTCATATGTAATGTTGATATTAACTGGTTAGTCGCGTGATTAATTTGGTGGTTTTTCTAGCACATAGTAAGTGCTTATGATCTTTCACTCTCCATTTGAACTTGTTTTAAAGTTGAAAATAGTCTATCACTGGCGTTATCCATTTTTCTAGACTGCCAGGCATGCTTAAGAGGAATGTATTTTTAATAACCTCCAGGTCACCTCTATCTGGCCACTAAAAGCCACTATTTATGGAGCTTGCAATAAGTGTTGGTCTTTTAACATTCATTTTCTTTAATTCTTTACTCAAGGATGTGACGGTGTCACTGTTTTATAGATGAAGATTACAGCCAGTAGACATGGAACCCGTAGTTGAACTATTTTTCACTCACTGTCCTTGCCATCACTAAGATTTTTACAAAGTCTGTGATGATTAGCAAGAAATGGGGGAGAAAAGAGGCTTGTAATTTTAATACAGCAAGAAGGAAGGATGGCTCAAGGGGTGGAGTGGGACCAGAATCCCTAAAGTGCTGAGATATTAGAGCTGATGTTACACTTGTGTTGGTATAGGCATGGGCAAAGTATGCTGACATCTTAGGGGTTTGCCCAGTCCTTATGTTAGCTTCTGATGGGCTACCAAGAAAACTAAGCACAATATGGAAGTGACTTGATACCAACTTATACATGAAAAACTTGAGGATTTGTTTCAAAATACGTGTCACAGCCTCAAAGAATTTATCATCTGGTTAAGGTAGAACATGAATATAATACTTCTGTCTAATTTTAAAGGTGGAGCCTTAGAAACCCCATTTGTTCTGTAGATACTGATTTAGTTATGTTTAAAACACTATTCCTTAAAAGTGCACAGGGGCTATAGCTTTATTTTAAAAGTAAAGAAACCAAATCAACAACATTGATTTGTTTGGAGTAGGTGAGGGTTCCTCAGGAATAGAACTAAGGGTTTTTAAGGCCACTGATCAAAAATTTACCACACTTTTTGTTGAAGGGAAGAAGTAACAAGTCATAAAAAGCGCAAATTTTTTTTTTAAATTATTAATGCATACAAGAACTGGGGTATAGGCCAGCGGTGTGTGTGTAGGGGTGGTGGTGGTGGTGAAACGATTCACCAGAGAATGGGGAACAACAGGCAGATCTACAGAAATACACTGCTGAGGGGAGAAGTGGGTGAGTCAGGAGAGGTCTGCTGTGCCATGTGGGTAGCCCTGGCTGGCTGGGGATCAAACTCATGTTGCAGTGGCTGTGGACAGCTTCATAGGTTGTGTCTTAACCCCTTGCACCACCAGGGAGGCCGCAAAACTTTTAGCCAAGATTTCATTAAGGGTTAGAGTGCCAAGAGGGAGAATTCACCTGGAGCTGAATTTAAGCCCCCTACTTACTTTTTAAGAATAAATTGGTTAGGTAATCCTAAATCGTGATTTATACGCGTATGAGCCATATCAAGGTTAGTGTACTAGCATTCTTTGTACTGCCTGTGCAACTGAAAAACATCAGGAAGATTTAAAATCCAGTCAGAGGCATCATTAAGGGCTGTGGTTAAACAAAAATTTCTATGAAGGTACTTGCAAATGAATTGTAAGGTGCTTGCCAATCCCCTCCCCCAGTCCCCCACGACCCCCCATAACTGCGATTAATATAAATAAACTGAGTAGAGTATGGGTTAACAATTAGGAAACACTTTCCCAAAAATGTCGTTAGGGCAAATTCTGGGAGTTGGGGTTTGGGGTAAGGAGGGAGAAAATCAAGAGGGTAATGGCTTCTGGTGGTGCGTATTTAGGCACATCCCTAAATTTTTAGAAGAGAATGTGGCTAACTGGAAGTGACAAACGTCTCAGATTACCATTTTTGTAACATGGGTGCATTACAGAAGAGGCGACCGAGTACAAACTAGGATCAGAGATTTCACAAATGCTTGTTGAACCCTACTCTCTACCCGGCCTCAGGCATCCAACATCTCAACGAGTTTATAAAATTGGGAGAGCAGACGGTAAACAAAAGGAAATTATCGGCATTTTAGTGTTAAAATGATACGGAGAAAAACGGGTGTGTGTTTGGGGTTTCCCAATTTTAGGGTAATCAGGGAGCATCATATAACTGAATAACCGCCTGAAGAACAGTTGGCGAAGGGGCCTCTCTCCCTTTTGGGGAGACCCCAGAAAACAGACCGTAGCGTGGTATTATATTACCAGAATTTACAGCAGAATAAGGCCCAAGAGATGCCCCGGCGGGCGAATTCCTGCGAGTCAAAATGTTTCCCAAGCACAACTCGGCGAACCGGGGCCAGCTGGTAAAGTCCAGCCACCAAAAATTCAATGGCAATTCCCCGCGACCCCCACTCCACTCCCAGCTCCGTCTGGACCGCGCCCTCAAACCGTGGGTAGGCGGAGCTTTTACTGCTCCGCCCCGTGACCGGCGCGCATGCGGAGGGGTCAAAGGTTAGAGGTTGTGAAGCAGTCATGGCGGCGCTGTGTCGGACCCGTGCCGTGACGGCCGAGAGTCATTTTCTACGAGTGCTTCTCCTCTCCCGGCCCTGTCGAAGTACAGGCACCGAAAGTAGCTCCGGGAGCGATAGTTCTGATTCCTCAGAGTCTAAAGCGCGCCCAGGCGGCTTTGCGAGCGCTTTACAGCGGCACTCGGAGCTGCAGCGGAAGACGGAGCCCGGGCGGATGACAGTGAGTCGCGGGAACTACGCCAGATGCGCTATGGGCGGGGCCAGAAGTGGGGGCGGAGCCTGCGTGGGCGGGGCGATCGCCAGACGGGAACTCGGCCGGGTTAGGAGGTGGGGCTGGGAGGCGGGGATTGGGGTGGAGCCTCGTGTAGGTGCTGGAGCGTGCGGTGGAGCGTGGAGAGCCCGGGTGGGGAGGGACTCCCCAGGCGTCTGGCTGCAGGCGCTGGTTACTTGGAACAGAGCATGGTTGGTGTTTTTCCTTCGGGTGAAAAGTACACTTGTACGATATTCACCTGCTGCACTTGTGCTGTCCACAGTCCATGCGAGCGACCGCCTGGCTGCAAGGGAAACCAGCTAGAAGCGCTGCCTTCGGGGGCGGGTGCTGTCTAGGGCGACCAGAGGCCGGTTGGACTCACCGGAGAGCAGGACTGTGTCTTTCTTGTTCTACACAGTAGCTCCAGCTTGGAACCTTTTGAGGTTTTCGTAAACCATTGAGGTGAATGAGAGAATTACTGTCTCTGTGAACTTGTGCAAGTGATTTATCCCGTCACTGCTTCACCTTCCTTTTCTGTAAATGAGATTTTTTTTTTTTAAGTTGGATAAACTATCCATCTGTCTCAGCAATACTTTTGTAAAATATAACCGAATTATTCGATAATGAAGACATAAACAAAGTCAGAAGTTTCTTTTTATTATTAGACATGAAATTGGATGCCTGGTAGTAGTAACATATAAAAATTAACTCAATTTCTGTACTTAGTGTCTATGGCATCAATACCAAACTTTTCATAAACTGGTAGTGTTCTGGATTATAGAAAATTGCCTGCAATTTAGTATATAACCAGAAGCTGCCATTATTGATGGAAATTTCTTACGATCAGAGGATTAGGAGAAGCCTGGTGTAGTTGGCTTTCTGTTTGCTGTCATAACAAATTACCACAAATTTAGTAGGTGAAAACAACACTTTTTTATTTTGAGTGCTGTCAGTGAGAAGTCTGATGGGTGCTGAGTTTAGACTGAGCTAAAATCAAGGCATTGGCAAGAACTTTCCTGTAGTTTCTAGGTGGGATTCGTTTCCTTACCTTTTCCAGCTTAAAGAGCGCATACTCACTTTCTTGGCTCATAGTGCTCTTTTCTGTCTTCAAAGATAGCAATAGGTTGAGTCCCTTTCATATTACATTACTATTGCCTCTCTTTTGCCTGCCCTTCTAGGTTTATGACCCCTTAGTACATTGGGCCTGCCCAGACCATCCAGCGCAATGTCCTTATTTTCAGTAATTTTATTTTGCATTTTGCATCTGCAATTTTATTCCCCTTTGCTATGAAAAGTAAAATTCACAAATTCTATAGATTACAATATAGACATCTCAGGGGGCACATAATTCTGTCTCCGATACCTGGAGAAGTTGTAAAATCCTAAGAGAATGCCAGTGACTGACTTGAAAGTGTCCTAAGTGATGACTTTTAGGTCCATTGTTGGTAGAAATCTTTGAGAAGTAAGTACTGTTAAGTAGGAGTCATATAACAAGAGATAGAGTCTGAGAAATGTACAATTTTGTCATTGTGTGCACATCACAGAGTATAATTACATAAACCTAGATGGTGAAGTCTGCCATACCCAGGCTGTCTATAGGAAACACTGGGTTATTTTGGTTTATACAATATATGTGGTATGACTTAGAGCATCATAAGAACAGTAAGTGTTTGAAGCTCAGAATACTTCCCCTTTCACACTTACTGTGTTTTTCCA